TTTCAATTTAAATTCAAATACCTGTTGAACAAACAAAACCCACACTGCCCAACACTGAATATAACAGTTCTTTAAGTATTTTGTAAAACATCTTTCATGGACCAAATATCACTTTATTGGAAACTTTTCCTGACGAGAAAAATAGACACACTACTTACTGTTCTATATCCACAGGTGTCCTGAGGGGAAGATTCAACCTTTATTCAAGACATTAAGTGCTACACAGTAATAAAGCAAAACTTGTGCCACTACCTTTTTAGAAAGAGCTGGTGAGACTGCCTGGGAACTGACAGTCCCTGTCCCAGCCTTCCTGAATGTTTCTGGGCTTTTCAGATCAGATTATCTAACTCTCCTCAAAGCCTACCCCGCTGAGTGGTGACATCTCTTTTTACTGGGCCAAAGACAAAGATAAATGCTAGAGTTAAATGTAGTGGAGAAAGACATCACTGTTAAAAATACTGAAAAGAAATATAAATGTTATTTTTCCTCTACTGAACCAGCTGACTGCAGTTCCATCAAACTCGGAGAAGCAGCACTCAGTGTTGGGTTATCATTACAAAACATCCCCTCAGTAAAGTAGGTCATGTAGCAACAATATGATGAAACTTGCTGACATTTGGATTACAAAATAGCAAATATGTTAATTCAAAAGGTGAAGCACACCAGAGCTTACATGAATTCTAAATAGTTCCCATCAACTCTAAGGAACTAGAGGCTGAATGGATTGCAGTTTCTGTTCTCCTCTACCTGCCTCTGATTAAATCTGTAGTCATTAGTGTCATCCAGAAAAACAATTAAGTTTTCTGCTCCTCTGCATTTGCTTGGATGGGAAAAGATGGCAGACCAGACCCTGGGGTTTACTTTGTCTATGGCACTTGAACCACATGATGCATGTTCTCTCCAGAATCACTGGTGAGAGAGAAACCATCCTTTCACAGCTGCTGCACTTGTCCCTCTGTTCTGCTAACAGATGTCTTATTTTCTGGATATTGTGAAAGACACGTTGGATCTTCATCCTCCTACAGAAAGTAATGACAATCCCTACTGTTACACACACAAAAACAGAGCATACGTGAGTTATAATGTGTAAATACATTTTGTCACCAGATTTTCCTGCAGTCAATCCTTGCTTTCCTTATATATAGAGTTAACAATATCTTTTCTCACCTATTTGTTCTTTTTATTTCCTCTCTTTCCATTTTGCCATAGTCAGTCTCTTTATCTATTTAGCTTCAATAGCACACAAGTCTGAAAAACTTGTAACCACAGATGGCCATGTTTTGGCTTCTGTGATGAGACAGAGTCTCCAAGGCCTCATTTTGAAAGGATCTTTCTTAATGAATTTTGTAGCTTATAGTTTTCATGCAGTGCTTTTCTTTCAATGCTGTAACAAATGCTTGTCAATAAGGGGAATTTGCCACTGAATCCTTGATAATGCCCTTTATTCTGCAGCTCTCTGCAGATTTGGAGTAATCCAGTTCTGTATTTGTTCAATTAATGCTACTGTGCATTTCATGCCGGTCATCCAGTCATCTTAAGCTCCTCAGTGAAATAAAAGGAGCTTAATTTTCTATTGCCTTAGGATTTGAAGGTTTATAAATGAAAGATAAAGACTTAATCCTGGTTGATCAGTTTAGTGAGAATGTTTTTTTTTTACATGATATCAATCCCATAATTTCTGCAGTTTTAAAAAATATTCAAATCATGGTTCAGCCTAAAATAGTGGAAAAAAACAAGAAATATACGCACATTTTACATAAAAACAGGTGAGCAATTATTTATTGACTAGCAGACCTTGTTGAGTTTTGCTTTGTTAAAGGTAGTGTTTGTCTAGGAACAAGGTAAAATTTGCACATACAGATAGATAAAGATTAATGCATGGGCTGGAGCTTACCTGGCTCTATCACTTCTGTCTTACCTGGCTCTATCACTTCTGTCTTACCTGGCTCTATCACTTTTATCTGGCTCTATCACTTCTGCCTTACCTGGCTCTATCACTTCACCTGCTCCAGGAGTGGGTCACAGCCCAGAGCAGGATGACCCCAGGTGTGACTGGAGCACTCACTCTGTGGCTTTTGGCTGTCAGTCTGTGCTCTGAGGAGACAAGGACGACAGGGAGGTCTCTTCTGCATGGGATAACAGAGGATTTATTGCTCTGGGGAATACTGGGGGCAAAAGACAGAAAATGTGAGTGTGCAGCAGCTGAAATAGGGAGGCTGTTCAAAGGGAGGGCACAAAGCATCAGCTAATCAGAGATATCCTGGGGAGGGTAAAAGGCAGGGCTCACAAAATCATCACCCAGTGAGGGAGGTAGGGGGGGAAAGTTGGGTCATGTGGACTAATCTAACATTGAAATTTAGAGAATTTCTGAAGTGGAATTCAAAGCATGTGGTGGGCTTAAGGTAGGATTGACAGGAGACTCAGGGCATATTGACAACATGGATTGAGAGGGTCTCATTTGGACCAAACCATCAACTTAGGTAATAACAGAACATACCATTAACAAGAAACACACTGCAACAATAGGTATTATTTATTTATTTGTTCAAGTTTGGGAGAACCCCTAAGCACATTCTGGCTTGTCTATTCCCCAGCACAGGGCACAGCTGTTGAATGCAACCAACACAGAGTTCAGTGTCATTCTATACTGTTCCTACTGCCTCCCATGAGGGCTGTGCCTATAGGGATTTAACCAAATCCTACTGAAGTCAGCAGCAGCACTTCCAGTGATCAGGACAGTTCTGTGCCAGTTCCACGATGAAATGAAGCAACCACCTCTTTTGTGATGTGTATCACAGAATTGCCCATGACTTCAGTGTGCCTCTCAGTGACAAATAGCTGCACAACAGCAAAAACAGGTTCTTAAAACTGAGCTACACAGAGGGTACAATGCCATAGTAAAGTTTCAGCAAAGTAATACATAAACCAGAAAAGAGATTTGTGACTTTGTGCTTCAAGTTAAGATATAGCAGGGCACTTTCTCCTTATAAGGTTGCTTCTGTGTGCCATTGATTTTGCAGTTTATTATTAAAGTGTCTTACAAGAGAAATGGCAAGCAGAATTTGACACTGGGAGACATATTAATGGCATGAAACCTTAGAAAAATGGGCACTCTGATAGTTATTAATCAGACCGAGCTACAGCATGAGCCTCCCCTTGCTCCCCTTTGCACTGACAAAGAAGCAAATCCTCTGGCATCCTCCAACTCATTTTAACACTTCCACAACTCTGGATTTCCCTCCTGCTAATGAAACAAACTACTTCTTCAAGAACTTTTACCGTGGTTCCCAAGCAGAACTTGCATTTCATGAGTCTACAATAGCATAATACGTTAAAAGGTAATAAAAGCTTGTTTCTTTCTTAAAAATAATAATAAAAAAAAGAGTTATGTTCCTGTAGTGAGCTGTGATTATGTCTAATCAAGGTGTCTGGAGAAGGAGGAGGACATGGCATTTAAGCCAGTTGAGCTCCTCTATTCCAAAAGGCTTATTCCTAATAGCATTGAGGGGAAAAATGGATTCTTTTGATCTTGTATTTTAATCTTAAATTTTAATTTGAACTATAAAACTTTAATAACTGTCCTCTAGATTTCAAAGAGAACAGCACTAAGTATTTTCTTCACACTGCATATTACACATGTAAAGTCAGATTCCTTTGTATCTGCAGGATCTGTGAGGGCTGCTTATTAAATTAGTAATGACCAGAAGTCAATGGCTTTCAACCCCTCGGAGTGTCTGTTGTATCTTAAGCCAAGAAAAATAAAATCACTGTTGTCCATGTAGAGCCCTTATTTGCATAAGCATCATGGCATTTTAAAATAATTATGCATCTCGATTTCATATGGGATTTGGAAAAAATGCAGGATTTCCCTAATGAAACCTACCGGGTTTCACAAGGTTGAAATGCAGAGTAATTACTTGTGTCCTTCCAAGATCTAAAAGACTGATAATTAATTTTATATGGTACAAAGAAACATATACCAGCTGGTGCAATAATTTCACCATACAGCTGGTAAGCAACAAATTCTCTGATATGAGCCCAAGAGGAAAGGAAGTGAGTTCTGTTAAAAGGCAATTACTGCAACCTGAACAGTTGTCACAGCGTACTTGGAAATGACCAACAGCTCTATTTTGCAAATCAGAGATTTAATTTTTATCTGAGCAGGAAGGGAAAATTGTACTTAAGTTCTCCTGGCAGAACAACTTCACAAATTGCAGCAATTTCTGAGCCAGCTGACTTGGAGTACTGTGCCTGTCTGTCCTGCCACAGGACAGAGGGTACCTGTGAGAAGTGGGCTGCCTTCTGCAGCATATGCAGCTTAAACACCCAGACAGCACCTTTGGCTTTTTCCACTTTCACTGGCAGCAAATGTTATTCCACTGATGGCATAATTGCCCAGAATAGAAGCAACCATGGAAGAAGTTAAACTCTGCTTCATTTTCCAGTATCAGCTGTTTGCCTACAGTTCTTAGTTTAAAAGACCAGGAAGGTTTCCAGTGTTTGCAAAATGTGCTACTATGAGGAGGTTAAGGCAAAAAGAAAGGATCATTCTGAGGCTATAAAGACCTCTTTCATTACAAATTCCCTTTAATGCAGTTTCTATTCATGAAACAATTGACTTGTATTTTCCAGGCAATAAAAAGTGGGGAAAAAGGCTTTTTGGTATGGGATTCTACACCTGCATGCTATTTTTAAATCATTTGCTTGTCTGCAAGGTCAGAGAGCATTGCAGAAGGCTCAGACTTCAGCCAAACTCACTAAGTATGATGATTCATGGCAATTTTTACCCAAAACTATGGGGTTTTTCCTGTTGTTGCTGAAATGTAAGATTGGAAAAAAATACTGATGGTGTTTAAACCAGGGTGCAGAACTATGCATGAGCACATTACTGAGGCTTCTTACTGCTCTATATCCTGTCTGTGTCTCCACCACCCCACCAGCACAGCACTTTCCTTAGCACCAGTAACAGCACTGCTCTCACTGCTCCATCCTGCTGTCAGCTTTTATACAGGTCAGCACAGAGAACAAGACTATGGCTGCACCTTCTCATCTCCTCCAGCCTCAGGGCAGATCAAACCATGCCTTGTTACCCACATCACTCTGAGTATTACTGCAAAAAGCTGCTGGAATGCTGCTGCAGGCACATCAGAGCTTACAAATGATGAACCGAGTCAAAGGCTGAATGAAGGCATCTTTGGATTAAAAACATCCACTTAGAATAAAAAGTTAAAATCAGTCTGTTGTATTTTATAGTTCTGCAAATAAAGATGGTTATTTCTGAAGTAGAACAGTTCACTTAGCTGCTGTTCTGAGATAAAGCATATATATTTATTTCAATGTATCATATTAAGAGGCTTGCTCCTGAATCCTTCTCATAGCTCTTCCTTTGGCTGTCTAGACAGAAAACACCCAGAAGGGAAATTTTTAAGAAACTGTAAGATTATGTGCTTAGAAAAGAGAACACACTGTGTTATCAGGAGATGGAAAATAATATTAACTTTGGTAATTAGTTTACCTGAATCACAGCCCAAGTGAAATGGTCCCATTGTTAGGAGGTCTATTGAAAAAACAGATCATAGCTGATACCCTCCCCCCACACACACTCCTTGAGGTACAATCCACATCTGCTGAGAAACACTAAGGGATTTGGCATGAATATTTCACTGAATCCAAGGGGGATTTCTGAGAGGTACCCTCACACAGATATAGATGTACACATCTGTGTGTGTGTGAATTGATTATGGTATGAATACTGTTATCATGAAGCTACAATTAAGTCACAGTTATAATTGTGCAAATCCTATTAAAAAATTATTAAATATTAAATTAGTTAATGAGTATGTGCTGCTAAATCCTTTTGAATCCTAGTATTTTGTACCCATATCTTTTGCACCCTAACTTTTTTTCAGCCCATATCCATGCAAACCATTCAAACTTTATTCTAATCCTATTTTCCTATGTATGATTCATCTATGCACTAAGAAATAGAGTGAAGATTGCCACTGAACTCTGTTAAGTTGCACTTCCACAAATTTACAGTGATTCTTTAAAAGGGGCCTGGAGATCAGGTGGGAATGTCTAAGTACTGGAACACTGAAACCAAGCAGGACCTCCAAGGGAGAGAACAACTACTGACTAAAGACTAATGGACAAAGACAAGTTTCCAGCTGAAAAGTAGTAAAGGATTGTGTAAAATATTAATTGTTCAATACCACCCCAGCGTTCAGCAGCAGAACTCCTCTGCTCTTGCTCTCCCCCTCCCTGTGATCCTGTGCATTGTGACAGACTGGTTGTGCACTGACAGAACACCTGCCTGCAAAGGGAAAGCTTTCCAAATTCAAAGCTTGTCAAAAGCATCAGTTACTGCCTGTACACATTTGATTTCATCCTGTCAAAATCTTAGGCTGAGGTACATTACCTGGTGCAGTGCAACACTGACATGAAAAGCTGTCACTGATTTTCTGCCTTCACTAATGCTGAATTAATTGTATTATATTTAAGAACATGCAGCTAACATAGTAAAAAAATAATCATAGACTAATTAATTTCATCAAATTCTATTATCAGAAAAATGGCTTTTATTTTTAACCAGCTTCAGATAGGAATTCTGTATTTCTAGGCTAAAACACTGCCTTTTTCTTTTTCTTTTTTTTTCCAAAGGCATTCACACAGAGAGCATTTTAATTTTCCACACTATAGCTATGTTGACCTTCTAGACCTTGCAAAGTAAAGTATTTATGATCCCAGTGTTTTTTTATAGTATTGTTTCAATATTTTTGTAACATTTGTATTTCTTGCTGATGTTTTTGGCATTAAAAATCACTCAAGCTGCGCTGAAATATAATGATATTCGCTGAACCATAGTATGGAAGGATAATTCAGTTCAGGGAGGTTATTCTAGCTCATCATGTACACAAAGGCTTGAAAGAAAATGCAGAGGATTCTCTGTTCTTGACATGTGCACTATTCAATCTCTCTTTAAAAAAAATAATGTGACATGGAGAAGACTTCGCTTACATATCAAAATATTCAGCTTTTGTCTGCAGAGCCAGGCAGGCAAAACAAGTATCCAAAATGCACACATAAAAACAGCTTTTATGGTCTTCCCAGAAACACACTGTCTTTTAGAGTCAATTGATCATGGAAAACTCTAGTCTGTAAGAGCCTCCTTTTTCTTTTCTTCCAGCAGCAGAGCCTGTCACCCATTAATTCATTGCATCTCAAAATATAATAAGCAAGTCACAAAATATCACTGTGTTAGTTTTCCTATGGGCTATGCTGTGTCTTACATTTATCCCCATTTTATTTTTTTTTAAATTCCTATAATCCATTTCCTCTTTTGTCTTTTTCTTGTCTTTTCAGTGGTCTTTAATGGCAGAGGTGAAACTCATTTGGAGGAAGACAATTTTATGTGTTATTCATTAAACTTTATAATGTTAATATGTTCTATTTCTGAAATATAAATTGATACACAAGAATAGAATCAGCAACCCAGTGCATGCAAGAAGAAAGAGCATTTGCAACATTTTAAGTCATTAAAAATGGGCTCTGCTCTAAAATAAATCTATATTTTTATGGTTTTCCATGAGACAATTAAGTTCCCATCAGAATTCAGAAATTTTAATGAAAAATATAATCATAATGCAGGATTCCCAACTCTTAAAAGCAATTTGATATAGTTATGAATAAGGATCCATCACAGGAAGCAGCAGAAACACTTTATGCCAAAGTTTTTTATTTCTTTTTTCTATCCCAGTCAAGCATGATTTTCTCATGCATTATGATTGCAAAAGTAGTTAATAGATTACAGATAATTTCCATTTCCCCTCATGAGCTTTTTATGGATAAATTCTGTAACAATTACAAAATCCTATAAATTGAGCAAAATTAGCTATTCAGCTACCTGTCTAAAATAAGCTGCCAGAAACCTTAGCTTACTTTGAGGCTTGATACAAAATTTTACTAGAGTACAAATATTTGCCTTTTTGTTTGTTTGGTTTTTAAAGCCTGGAGATACAATAACATTTGTTGAATGTGTGCTATGAATAGTGAACTTTTTACATCTACATATTACACAGAAAAATTGTTTTGTACCCTAAATACCATATAAATATCACTGTAGGGAAACCCCACCAGTCATGATGCTCACAACTCCTTCATATATATGTAGAATATTTGGCTTGTTTTTTTAATGGCTTCACTTCCTACATTCATGATTTTCTGATTCCATCGAATAAGTGGGCTTCTTATACCTGCAGTAAGAGAGAAGCTGGGAAACAAATCAAGGTAAATTATTGTATATATATTTTAAATATCAAGGCTTTAAAATAATTTCATATTTTAGGCAGACATGAGCCACCATTTTTGAAGGTTTGAGTTTGACCACACTGCAGGTGACCTAAAAGGTGTCATTCCTTAGCACACAACCAGCTCCTCCTCAGGAAGCCTCTGCTTGCATGAAGTAATACTGCTCCAAAAATCAGCCTGAGAAAGTCATCAGGGGTTTGCATTCAAATCACATCTTATTTCACTTCAGGGCTCTGTTTAAAATCTGGGTGTTGGTTTTCCTTCATGCCTTCTGTAGATCCTCCTGGATCTGTGTAGAACCTTCTTCTTTACAGATTATAATCTCAATAAATCTAATCCTGTTTTTAACTGGCTGCACATGAGCTGTATTTATTCTTGCAAATATATAAGACTAATGAAGTCTTATGGACAAAACCCTGCACTCAAAGAAATCACTAGAAAAAGAAGGGTTTAAGTGCCATTCTGTATTTCAGTTTTCCAGCTGGGATTTGGTTGGTTTATCATTTATTGTAGAACAGTGAAAAATGGTTTTTATTATGTGAAGTAAGATTACTTTTCTTCATAAACTTGGCTTTGTCACAACTATGTACCCATTTGTTATGAGTAAGATTGCAAAGAGACCATCAAGTTCAGCAGCACCAGCAAATCCAGGTTATTATTTTCCATCTGAAAACTTGTGCCTAGCTTTAGTATAATTCAAATAATGCCCATTTTTACAATTCCAACAGTAAGAACTAATCACTCCTTGACATTTTTATCCAAGTGTGGATTCTGGGGAGTAACAATTTGCCAAGAAGTCTATAGTTCTATCCAAATTCTTCTGGAGGGTAACTGGTGTTACGACTTTGTGAATATATTTTCTATGTTAAGAAACATGTATGGACCTGTTAATCACATACCCCTGTCCTTCACCTATCTAGAAAGCTTCAGTTCTTATCTTCAGATTCTCTAAATGTCTAAGTCTCTGTGTTGAGTCATCATATTTCTTTTGAAAATGAAATTGAGGTTTTCACAGCCTAGCTTTAACTTTGGGGATTTTGTATTCCCTGATTCTCTTCCATAGTCAACAGAGGAAGATGAAAAGGAAACATCCTCAAGTTGCACCAGGAGAGATTTAGACTGGATGTTAGAAAATAATTTTTCACTGCAAGGGTTGTCAGGAGCTGGACCAGGCTGCCCAGGGAAGTGGTAGAGTCCCCACCTCTGGAGGTGCAGATGTGGGATTTGGGGACATGCTTCAGTGGGGGACTCAGCAGTGCTGGGTTAACCCTTGGACTTTGTGGTCTCAAAGCTCTTTCCAAAGCTAAAAGATTCTGTAATTGTATGATTGATGTTCTCTGAACATCTCCATGAAAGGGATCTCTGCTGACTAACCAGAACACAAGGGAATTAGCTTCTACAAGGAAATGTACACCTTCTGTATCATTCTCTTGAATTCTTCAATCACACAAATGCTTTGGAGTACTTGGTTCACATGTCCTCTCCCTCACTCACCAATAATTGATTTGCATTTGTACTGACAAATCCAATTTTTTGCATGCATAATGAATGTCATTGATTTGTCCAGCACCTGCTCACAGCACCCTGGAACAAGCTGAGTAGGAAAACCATTTATACAAACACACCCAACAGGAGTAATTTGAAGATTTATGCAAAAAGACAGGGCAGTACTTCCAAAACTGTATTTCCATGGCTCAGGTGTTCTTTCAGTAAGGTTTTTGTAACCTCATGGCACAACTGCTGCCCAGTTTCTGTGTATTTTCTGGGAACCACCAAGTGAAAGACAATCACTATTTCAAGGGGCCAAGTGAATACAAAGCTCCTTACTGGAGCTTTGTGGGTACATTTAGGTACTGTTTTAATTCAGAGTCAAAACGGGACTAACAAACTTGCCATTTTATAAGGTTTGATCTGAATACTTGCCCCTCGTATTTCAGTTTTGGGAGGTATTTAT